GCTGTGCTGCCAGGAGAGCTTAACGCCTAGGGGAGTTAATGTGTATATGAGGCCTTAGGGTTAATTCATACCAAAATACAATAAAAAATGCACAAAAAATGTCTGCATATATACCAGCATTTGTATGCATTTTGCAATGCATTGCGTTACATTTTTTAATGCTTTGCAGTGCTCCGCTGCACACTTCAGCAGGTACAGAAAGTACACATTATAGGGGAGATTTACTAAAACAAAATGAAGTTTGACTGCTATGAGGACTCATAGTGGAAGATATACTGAAACTGGTGTGCACAGATTCAGGTGCAGCTGTGAATAGTAACCAATCAGCTTCTAACTTCAGGTTGTTCAATTAAGCTTTGACAATAAAAACAAGAAGCTGTTTGTATACTATACACAGCTGCACCAGATTCTGTGCGCACCATTTTTCGTGAATCTGCCACTTTGAGTCCTCATCGTAGTCAAACTTCAGAGTTCTTTTTTTTTTTTTTAATAAGTTGTGTTGCATGTTCACTGGCATTGCAATCCAAAATAATGCAGGATACGCCTTTTTTTTTTTTAAACCACACATCCATAGAATGCAATGGTGTGAACTACACCCATTGCAAACTATTCATTTTTATTGTCTATTGTTTTCTGAACAAATCCAGATGCATCAGGTGGGAACAGGCCTTTACACTTTAAAAAGACACATTAATCTTTGTTAATCCCCCCAGTAGTTTGTCTTTAGAGCTGGACCAAACCTAGCGTATACCCCTTTGCAGGATCTCTAGCATCCTTATCTCTGGGCTGTTATCATGAATACCCTGGAATCACTTGTCTGAAACATATATACACAGACACGTGTACTAGGTAAACACTGAACTGTCCATAAACACACAAAGAAATTCATGGTCAAGGGCAATTTCTGAGCTGCTGGTTTGCTATGCACCCAAGTATCCCCACAGCTAATGTAAAAGGATTTCATTTTAGAGTAAAACTAAAGGGAAAATGTTTCTGATTTTGGATAAAGTGAAGGAGGATTAGAACCCTTGTCTGTTTTTTTTTTCTTTTTATGTGGAGATTTCACTTCAATTCTTGTCCTATAATGTGCAGCCTGCTGGCTGAAAAAAAAAGAAAAAAATAACAGGTTCCTCCATCCACACATACAAGGTGAATGAAGGAATCCCCCCTATCTTTATCTACACATACAAGGTGAATGAAGGAATCCCCGCTGCCTCTATCCACACATACAGTACAAGGGGAATGAACCCCCCACCACTGCCATTATCTACACATACAAGGTGAATGAAGGAATCCCCCCTGCCTCTATCCACACATACAGTACAAGGGGAATGAACCCCCCACCACTGCCATTATCTACACATACAAGGTGAATGAAGGAATCCCCCCCCCTGCCTCTATCCACACATACAGTACAAGGGGAATGAACCCCCCACCACTGCCATTATCTACACATACAAGGTGAATGAAGGAATCCCCCCTGCTGCTATCCACACATACAGTACAAGGGGAATGAACCCCCCACCACTGCCATTATCTACACATACAAGGTGAATGAAGGAATCCCCCCTGCCTCTATCCACACATATAGTACAAGGTGAATGAAGAAATCCCCCCTGCCTTTATCTACACATACAAGGTGAATGAAGGAATCCCCCCTACCTTTATCTACACATACAAGGTGAATGAAGGAATCCCCCCTGCCTCTATCCACACATACAGTACAAGGTGAATGAAGGAATCCCCCCTGCCTCTATCCACACATACAGTACAAGGTGAATGACGAAATCCCCTCTACCTTTATCTACACATACAAGGTGAATGAAGGAATCCCCCCCTGCCTCTATCCACACATACAAGGTGAATGAAGGAATCCCCCCTACCTGTATTCACACATACAAAGTGAATGAAGGAATCCCCCCTACCTCTATCTACACATACAAGGCGAATGAAGGAATCCCCCTGCCTCTATCCACACATACAAGATGAATGAAGGAATCCCCCTGCCTGTATCCACACATACAAGATGAATGAAGGAATCCCCCTGCCTGTATCCACACATACAAGGTGGATGGAGGCATCCCCCCTGCCAAGACTTGGGAGTTGTGCAGACTGTGCACTTTGCAAGTGATGTGGCACTCTGCAAAGGAAATTGCTCCAGAGCTTAGTAAGCAGGGGAAGCTGCTGACTTCCACCATCCAATCATTCACAAGCAAAAAATGCTGTTTTTTTATATTTTCCTCGCAAGTATTTACGTATTCTAAGTTGAAGCTTCACCTCTTAAAGCTGGCCATACATTGTACAATTTGCTTGTTCAGTTTCCTTGAGATTTACCTTCAACTATATAGTGCAAGGACCTGTCTGATTGCATACAAGTTGAAAGTGTTCAGGTTTGAAAGCAGTTGATTGGCTGCCACAGATCGAAGGAGAATCTTCCAATATGTCCCATCAACAGAAGTCTGCTGATACAATCACCTTCTGTCCAGCAGAAGAGTCCCCACATTGGCACTGATTTACTAAAAGTGGAGAGTGCAGAATCTGGTGCAGCTGTGCATGGTAGCCAATAGCTTCTCACTTCAGCTTGTTCAGTTAAGTCCTCATGTATACGGGACGTTTTTACAGCTGCTGTTTTTGGCTTTTGATGTTTTTTTCTACAGCCAGTAAACCCCCCAGCATGCTATCCTATGTGTCCATGCACACATAGACTGTAATCAACGTTTTTTGGCTGGAAAAAACCCACGACTAGTGTGTTTCTAGAGGAGGTTTTTTAGCTGTAAAAACGCTCTAACGTTGAAAATCGCTTAAAAACGCAGTAAAACAGCACAAACTGGCATTTTTGGACTTTTTTTACCAAAAAAACCAAAAAAAAAAAAACCCGCTAAAAAATGCAAAACACGGAAAAACGTGGCTAAACGCTAATGCAAAAATGTTAAAAAAAGTTGAAAAACTTAACATGACTTTAAACAACTAACGTTACCAGCGTTATCAAAACGTCAAGTGTGCATAAGGGATAATGCCGGCCATACATGGGTCGAAATTCGACGAATTTTTCATCCGAAAATCGGACCTAAGAAATAACCGTCCGATTTTTGCTCTGTTAGTGGGTCAATGGCACCAGACGATTTTTCGTGGTTCTTCCCCTTTTTGGTGATCAGGCATGTTGCAAAATTCATGAAAAACAACAGATTTTCGACTCAATGATGGTCAAATCGTACAATCGTTTTCCTGAAAAGAATATACGCATGAGCCATGACCTGGATGGAACAGAAGTTTCGCCTGTTATATGGGGTGAACTTTATGACTTGGTCGGTCGATGGCACTTGATGACACCATCGAATTACCGAGCGAAAGACGTTTCCGATTTGCGGACGCAAAACCATTCGGAATTCGACCCATGTATGGCCTGCATAAGCTTTGACAAAAAAAAAACCTGGAAGATGATTGGTTTTTATGTACAGTTGCACCAGATTTTTCACTCTCCAAGGGCTGGTTCACACCATAGGAAGTCCAAATGCATTTCTGTATGCACGTTTTTGATTTTTTTTTTTTTATGTTCCGGTTCATATTTTCCATTCTCTTCTTCATTTCAAATATGGACATGTGCTTTCCAGTGCGGTTTTGGTGCGTTTTTGGTACGTTCCAGTACAGTTCTGTGCAGGAAAAATGCAGCCTGTTCTACTTTTTTTTTCTGCAACCTGAATGCTTTGGAACGGCATGCACTGATGTGAACTATGGCATTGACAACCATATAACCTACTTTCTGCGCTTTTTTGCTGCAGAAGAAAAACAACTGAAATGCATGTAGTGTGAACTGGCCCTTAGTGAATCAACCCATTGTTTGAAATTTGGTCAGTTCCTCCTGGACAGGCTGAATTTCACACAATGTACAGATCTGTATGTACCGGTATTTGAATATGTGATTCTAAGTGAGTTTGTAATGGAAGGATTGGACACTCCAGCTGCTGGGGAACTACAAGTCCTAGTATGCCCTGCTGGTCCCTGCCCCTGTTTTAGTTGGCCTTTTAATTGGTCAGTCTGTCTTATAGTGGATGTCATCAGATGACATTTCCTGATGATTGGCAAATGTCAAATCAGGACAGTATTCGTAAACTTTGTAACATGAACAGGGGAAAGCAATATAGATAGCACTGTGCTAAATGATAGACCTTGTTGACGTTAAACTTGTATAACATGATATAATGTTCGCTTTAGTAGCTGTAGAAAGTGTCTGGAGTCCAAGGTTAAATCGAAGATAAGGACTTAGGATTTGTTGTAAACAAGTTGCAGGTGTTGCCTAGGACTTCTCTTTTCTTTCTGTTATGGGTGGAGATCGTTTTCTTAGTAATGGGAGTTTGACAGCTTACCACATGGGAAATTCCTATTTGTATGACAAGTTTCGTTTATCTGTTTTCATTTCTGTTTCCTTACAAGTAATAAGTATGGAGCCCTACTCCTGCTGGCAGAACAGTATAGTCGTGGTTTTCAATAGCATATGATCGCAGTGGCACAAAACCAGTAATATATGTGATCTAATATTACCCTGGACAATAATTTACTGTAGTATTTCATTATAAGGAGCCAAAACATATTTTTAACGCTTGCCTACAGGGCACTTATACCCCCTTCCTGCCCAGGCCAATTTCCAGCTGAAAATTTTGAAAAAAAAAAAAAGTTTTTTCTTAGTTTTTGTTGTAAAATTTTGTAAATAAGTGATTTTTCTCCTTCACTGATGTGCGCTACTGAGGCTGCAGTGATGGGCACTGATAGGCTGCACTTATGGACACTGATAGTTGGCACTGATGGGCACTGATGAGGAGGCACTGGTAGGTGGCACTGATGAGCATTGACAGGCAGCACTGATAGGCGGCACTGTTAGGCACTGACTGGCACTGTTAGATGGCACTGACAGGCACTGATAGGCGGCACTGATGCACACTGATAGGCGGCACTGACTGGCACTGATTGGCAGCACTGATAGGTGGCACTAATTGGCATTGATAGGTGGCACTGACTGGCACTGATGGGTGACACTGAAAGGCAGCTCAGATGGGCACTGATATGTGGCATTGATGTGCACTGGAGGGCACTGATATGTGGCATTGATGTGGCACTGATGGGCACTGGCACGTGGCACTGTTCAGCACGGACAGCTGGCACTGATGGACACTGACAGATGGCACTTCTGGGACCACACTGATCATCAGGGCACACTGATCATCAGTGCCCTGATGATCAGTGTACATGTCCCCTCCACGGAAAGCCGATTACCCGCTCTCCTTTCCTCTCAAGCTGTCAGCGTGACGGCTCGTGAGGAGAGAAATGCCGATAACCGGCATTTCCCTGTTTACATGTGATCAGCGGTGATTGGACACAGCTGATCACATGACCGAGCCGACATCTTCGGCTCTTTCCATAGATCGGTGATCCGCTGTGTCTGAGGGACACAGCGCACCGCCGATCGCTGCGCTGCGCACTCCCTGAGCCGTGCATGCGCGATGAGAATGGGAGGACGTCATATGACGTCCTCCCAGAACAAGAGAACCACCTTGTGCCCATCATTGGACTATATGGTGGGCAGGAGGTGGTTAAAGAGGCCCTGTCAAGAACTTAAACAATTGCCGGAAAAAACATACTAAATTATTATTATTATTATTATTATACAGGATTTATATAGCGCCAACAGTTTGCTCAGCACTTTACAATATAAAGGGAGACAATATAGCAATGATACAGTTCAACTACAGTTCAACACAAGAGGGTTAGGAGGGCCCTGCTCCTTGGAGCTTACAATCTTAGAGGGAGGGGCTAGTTGTACAAAAGGTAGTAACTGTGGGGGATGGACTGGTAGGAGGAGTAGATGATTCCATTATTAGCTGAGGGTAGGATAGGCTTCCCTGAAGAGATAGGTTTTCAGAGATCGCCTAAAAGTGAGCAGAGTAGGCGATAGTCTGATAAATTAGGATAGAGAGTTCCAGAGGATGGGGGAAGCTCTGGAGAAGTCCTGGAGACAAGCATGGGAGGAGGAGTCGAGGGATCTAGAGAGTAGGTCGTGGGAAGGACAGAGAGTACGGTTTGAGTGATATTTGGAAACAAGATCATTGATGTAATTTGGGGCAGAGTTATAAATGGCTTTATACGTTATTGTTAATGTTTTGAATATTATCCGTTGGGCAATGGGAAGCCAGTGGAGGGATTGGCAGAGAGGGGTGGCTGATACAGAATGATTAGTAAGGTGGATGAGTCTGGCAGCAGCATTCATGATAGACTAAAGAGGGGATAGCCTGCGATGAGGTAGACCAATGAGGAGGGAGTTACAATAGTCAAAACGAGAGATAACCTCGGAAAACTACTAAGCAACTTATTCACTCCCTGATTAAGAACGGGCGTATCTTATAAATGGATAGCTTGCAGTGTTTTTTTCCTCTCCATAAATAATTATTCACTTGCAATCTGTCTTTGAACTTGATAGAAAATTTGACTGCTCCAGGAGAGTCAATTCCATAGCCCAGCCCCTCCCTTCACCTCCCTACATAACGATCAATATGCTACGTTTTAGGTATGTTTTGCATGCATTGTAGGGGCATTAGCTTTGAACTCCATATAATGTGCATTATGATGAAAGTGCATCAACGATGTGGCAAGCAGGACTTTTGTTGCATTGCACCTAAAGCCTGCATAAAACACACAGATGTGAACAGAGCCTAATATAGTAATATTAGAAATAATATAGTAATGGGCAGCACAGTAGCTAAATGGTTAGCCCTTTTGCCTGGCAGTACCAGGGTTTTTGGTTCAAATCCTAACTATGGCACCACCTGCCTGGAGTTTGCATGTTCTCCCTGTGTCTGCGTGGGTTTCCTCCGGGTACTCCAGTTTCCTCCCACATTCCAAAGACATGCTGGTAGGTTAATTGGCTCCTGTCTAAATTGGCCCTTGTATGTGTACGTATGAATGTGAGTTAGGGAGCTTAGATTGTACACCCCTTGAGGGTTAGGGACTGATGTGAATGTACAATATATATGTAAAGTGCTGCGTAAATTGATGGCACTAAATAAGTACCTGCAATAAATAATAATATAATTATTGTTGTTATTGTATATATGGTTATAATATTATTATTATTATAACAGTAGACTCACTTGAGTGACAGCTCAGGGGCTGTTAACATCACCTTTCATCACTCCATGGCAGCACCCACTAGTAGTCTCAGAGTTATAGGATGTCTCTACAGAAGAGGCTTTTACATGAACAAAATACATTAAATGCACACATCATTTTATGGGAAGATTTTTGTTGAAATGAATGGTCTAGTGACAAGGGTTTCTTTAAATTATTTATGCTTATAGCCTTGCAGTAAAATTATCTACAACCAGTGGCTTGTGTGCTTCATGTGGCTTTCATGATTAGCTGAAATGTAAGCTGTGGGTGGCCCTATTGGCAAAACCCGGTTCAAAAAACTTGAAAAATCGAAGGAGTCGGGTGGAACATGTCAGCAAAACAATGGCTGCATCCCTTTACACACATTCATTCTTCGGGTGCTGAGGCTGCCTGAATACAATAGCTAGCAGGGGCTATTCCATGGGGGATAGAGGAGTCTTTTTGGATTTCTCTCGTTCAGCCCACAGGCAGAACAATAAAGGGTTATGTGTGTATGTCTAGCTTTTCTCTCTCTTCCCAAGTCAGTTATTTTTTAAATTACTAGAACTATGGGATTAGTGTGACAGAGTATTAGCATACTCAGAAGGAGAGCTCAACAATGGCAGGCTCTACGGGGTTGATTCTCTAAGGAACCAGTCATGCTACAACGCACTACGTTGCGGCATACCACGTTAGCAACTGATTAAAAATAAACTGGCTGCAGTACATCTCAATATACAAAAAATGAGCATTCTGCATTTTTTTTACAGTGCACTAAACAGGACAGCGTGCATTGTAGTCTGCTGTGGTGTACATGTGTTTTGAAGGTACCTTATTTATTTATTTCAGGTACTTATATAGCGCCATCAATTTACATGGCACTTTACATATATATTGTACATTCACATCAGTCCCCGCCCCCAAGGAGCATACAATCTAAGGTCCCTAACTCACATTCATACACATACTAGAGCAGTGGTTCTCAACCTGTGGGTCGAACGACCCTTTCACAGGGGTCGCCTAAGACCATCAGAAAACAAATTTCTGATGTGTAAAGAGCAGCTACTGTGCTGAAAGCAGCTACTGTGCTGAAAGCAGCTACTGTGTTGAAAGCAGCTACTGTGCTGAAAGCAGCAGTATTGAAGGTAAAACGACACTTCATGAATTATAATTACTGGGTAAACAATTTTATGGTTGGGGGTCACCACAACATGAGGAACTGTATTAAAGGGTCGCAGCATTAGGAAGCTTGAGAACCACTGTACTAGAGCCTATTTAGACAGGAGCCAATTAACCCACCAGCATGTCTTTGAAGTATGGGAGGAAACCCACACAGGCATAGGGAGAACATGCAAACTCCAGGCAGGTGGTGCTGTGGTTGGGATTTGAACTGATGACCCGAGTACTGCCAGGCGGAAATGCTAACTACTGTGCTGCCCGGATGGCATTTAAAATTTATAACATTTAAAATAAAGAACATAACATGATTTTCAAGTGTTAAAATATGGTGAGAAGCAGACAGTGGAAAACAAAAACTCTGGAAATTTTTTTAAAAAAGAGGAAAAAAATAATTTAATCACCGTAAGGAAAGTTCCCTTCTTCATTTGTCATCCAATAGATCTAACAGATTGCAGGTAGCTGAATGGCATACATTCTTTATGGGGAAAGCAGGTGGAGCAACTCTGGAAAAACTGAAGGAATTAAAAGCCTTTTATAAAGAAGACACATTGTATAATATTTTCTTCTTGAAAATGCAGACAGTAATGAGAGCAAGAGTTGGTTAGACTTGAAAACAGAAACAGGCAAATTATGCACTGTATAAAAATATACTTTTTAAATATAAGTAGCCTTTTTGTGTTTCTATGTATTGCCATCGTGTGGACAAATCAAGAAACTGCAACTGGTAGAGTTTTTTGCGCTATCTCGGCTTGTAGAAGGGGCTCTGCGTCCTTTTTTCAGAAGGCCAGTTTTCTACATCCATTACATATGGGCAGCCAGGGTCATGAGCCAGCTAGAAAAATATGCACGCCATTTACCATGAGCATATATAAAAGTCACAAGATTTTATTGCAAAATCAAAACAGGTTTTTGTTACATTTCAAAATCTACATTTGTTTTTAGAGGTTTTTTTTTTCTTTTTTAACAAATCTGCTAGGAAGGGATGTCAAAGGATGAAGAGTGCTGTTATATTATGTACACAGCATAAAATGACAGTAAATAAGGAAGAGCAGCAGATGTGCTTGGGTGCCATGAACTCAGTGACCACACAGCTGTAGTATTCTTCTCACCCCTTTAGCCACATCCTACTAATTCCACTGGAACAAAGCTGTAGGAGTTTGGACAGCTAAATTACTAAACTTCAATTTTACATTTAAATCAAAATTTACATGTAAAATCCACTAGGATATGTGTTTTTTTTCTAACATTATTAACTATGGTAATATGTGTTCATAGCTGTAAAACCATGTATTTTCCGTTACAGAGGACCTTGTATTAATCAGATGACAGTATTATCAGTACAAAAACAGTAATAGTCTATGTTGCCTGCTTAGTTCAGTAAAGAGAGTGAAATTAGTTACATTTTGGTATAAACCCTGGTCAACCAACTGCAGCAAAGAGAATCTCAAGCTGATGGAATAGCTGTTTGCTGATAGAGTGCCTAGTTTACTATTCAATGTGATACATATATATATATATATATATATATATATATATATATATATATACAGGTGAAACTCGAAAAATTAGAATAAATTAGAAAATTAGAATATCGTGCAAAAGTTCATTTATTTCAGTAATGCAACTTAAAAGGTGAAACTAATATATGAGATAGACTCATTACATGCAAAGCAAGATAGTTCAAGCGGTGATTTGTCATAATTGTGATGATTATGGCTTACAGCTCATGAAAACCCCAAATCCACAATCTCAGAAAATTAGAATATTGTGATAAGGTGCAATATTCTGGGCTCAAAGTGTCCCACTCTAATCAGCTAATTAAGCCATAACACCTGCAAAGGGTTCCTGAGCCTTTATATGGTCTCTAAGTCTGGTTCAGTAGGAATCACAATCATGGGAAAGACTGCTGACCTGACAGTTGTGCAGAAAACCATCATTGACACCCTCCATAAGGAGGGAAAGCCTCAAAAGGTAATTGCAAAAGAAGTTGGA